AGAAGCAATTTAAATATGTTCAGGGACCATTTTCATCTCCAGAATTAAGGATTATTTTGATGTTACATCATTGCCTTTTCTCTTTTACTTTCCTTTTTAGTTTTATTTTAGGATTCCCTATTTTTAATGTTCATACAGAGATTTCTTTAACTGAAATACCGAATAGTTTCTTTGGTGTGAAAAACTATCATAGTACACAGGATCCTAATGAGACAATTAATAATGTGAAATAGGAAGTAAAGGGCTAAAGGTGTAAGGAAAGTGGGAAGGGTGGGGGAAAGGTAATAAGGGAGAGGAAAAAAATATGAGAAACTGAAAAAATGGAAATCAAGTGTTTGTAAATGGGGAGGGGAGGAGGGGGTGAAGGGAGGGCAGGGACAAGGGGAAAAATGAGAATCAAGACCTATTATGTAAAGGTACAGAATCCCAATGATGAATGTAATTGTACTGTATACCTAGATTGTACCAATAACCTCAATAAAAAGAAAACAAAATTAAAAAAATAAAAGAGCCATCTGGAGAGTAAGCAAAGGCCAGAACATTCTGTGGCCACCTTCTCAGGGGAGGGGACTACTCGCCTGAAAATACAGTCTCAGAACATCCTGTGGGGCCACTTTCCCAGGATAATCATGGGTCTGCCCAAAGCCCAGGTTGGAACCCAAACCGCCCAAACAAACATGCCTTCCTCCCCATGGGGCCAGGCCAGAATAAGCGTCTTATGTCACTGATAACCACAGACTGGGGTTGGAACGATGTTGATCCAACTGGCGGTGACCTCATTTCCTTGGGTTACACTCTCATGGTGAAAGAGGGGCGCTGACCCACTATGGTCATAGAGAGACTTGTGAGGGCTGCCACCCAGACAAAAAATGGTCACTTTCGGTTCTTCCCAAACCTGCAGGGCTTCCTAGGGGTCAGAGAGGCTTCCATGAATATAAGACCCCAAAGGGACAATCCTTTCTCATTCTGATGGTTCCTTAAGTCCTAATCCCTGTCCCTCTGGGCAACTCCCAAGCCTTGGTAAGGAGGTAACAGGGAAGGAAGAGGCATTAGGGTCACTGTGCTGCCACGGTCCTGACAGGGCTCTACTCACCCTGTCCCCTCACCTTGTTCCTGCCACTAAAAATGAAGAGTGTCTGTCGTGATCCCGACACGAGGCACAGGCCATATGGCCCCTTGCACCTTTACAGGCCTCTTCTTGCCCCTCATCTCTATTCCTCTCTGGGAATGTGGTGAGATCAGTGCAGGAGCCAGGAAGAGGAAGTCCGAGAGCAGGGGAGGGGACAGCACCGGGAACACATTGTGCCCTGCCCTTGGTAAACAGCTGAGCGAGCTGTGGGGTGTGCTTGATTGGGGTAGGAGAGCACCCCAGGCACACAGCAGGTGGGGACCCGCCTGCTCTACTCCCAAGCTCTGACATCACAACTCCCTGTCAGTGCCCTACCCTGCAACCTCATCACAGCCAAGCTGACTAATGCCACCCTCGAGTTGTTAGCAGGATGTCAAGGAGGCCGGTTCTTAAATGTAAAGGACTGGCGAGAAGGCATGAGGAAATAATATTCACTGTACAGGTATTATGTGTCAAGTACGGAGTGGTCCCCAGAGCTGCTCAGTTAGATAGAGAACAGCCAGGTGACATTACAGCCCACCAGGCACTAGGTTTTAATATCTTTCTTCTAAATAACCTGTTTAGTACTCACAAAATATCACAATATCCCAGCAGCTTCTTCATTCTACATCTCCTTTCTTGTTTTGCTTTTTCCTTCCTAACAATCACATATCACTAATTAATACACAATCACCTCCGATCTATGGGTTCCACACTCACAGATTCAACCCACCTTGCACTAAACATGGAAAGGCGGGGGGTGCGGCTCAGTGGTTGAGCACTAGCCTAGCATGTGCAAGGGCCTAGCTTCCATCCCCAGTACCAGCCACTCACAAACACACCCACACCCATTCACACATATACACTCTCACACACTCACACAGAATGTGCCTATACTGAATGTATACAGACATTTTTCTTGTCATTATTCTCTGCACAAAATGACTTAACAACTACTTGCACGACATTTGCATTACCTAAGTTACTGTACATTCATCTAGAGATGATAGAAAGTATACATAAGGGACCATGTAGTTTATATGCAAATACTAGGTCATTTTATAGAAGGGACTTGAGCACCTGAGGATTTAGTTATTTTGGGAGGGCCCAAAGGACTGGTATCCATCCCCTAAGGACACCAAGGGACAAGTGGGGTGTAGTTCTGGCTGTCTGTTGGCTGCCTGTCCAACACTGCCATTTTAGCTCCCACAGGCCTGCCCCGTACCCTCCTAGCTAAAGAGTGAATCCCACGAATATTCAGCAGTACACAGGGCTTTGATTGTACCTACACCACCTTCTACCCTCCCTGCTTCCTCACTTTGCCCCAGTCACATCAGCCTTCTGCTCTTTTTTTGAGACAGGGTCTTGCTACACAGTTCATGCTGTCCTCAAACTCATGGTGATCTGCCTGCCTCAGGCTCCTAAATGCTGGGATCACAGGCATGGGCCACCACGCCCCCTGCAGATCAGCCTTCTTTCTGCTCTTCACTTGTACCAGGTAATGCCTGCCTCAGGGCCTCTGTGCATTTGTCGGTGCTCCTGGCTACAACACATACAGCCACTTGCCTGAGAGCCTGGCCCCTGCTGCTATCTCATGTGCACCTTGCTCAGAATATTATAGGTGCAAGAGTAAACCTCTACCATCCCAGAGAGAAGAAAGTAGCCTGGGCAGGCCACCAACAAGTGCCCACCTGGCATATAGAACATAAATAAGTCTCAAGAGCAAGTTGCAAGCTCTTGCTTCTCTCTGCCTTTTCCTCTGATTGATAAAGTAATTCCTGAGACACTGAATAGCCCAAATGTGCACTGAAAGAAAGATGCTTGCCTTAGACAAGGTCACCTCCCATTAGGGGTCAGAGAGAAACAAAACTCTTTCTGTGACCCCTTCATGGCCCCCGGGGGGGGGTCATGGCTTAAAAAGCAGACAAAGCCTCTTCCAATGCTGGGTGGGAACTTTGACTCTGGGTCTTCTCTTGCTCATTTAGTCAGCAATACTAAGACCCAGAGAGGTTTAGCAACTTTCCCAAGGTCACACAACAGTGAAGTAGCCAGTGAGCAGATCTGGGTCTCCCAATGCCATGTCCAGTGTTTTTCCCACCAGTGAAAACAGGAACAGAGTGAAAGGGAAGGCAGAGTCTCCCACACAGGGCAGAGGGGAGGCTACATTCAGAAAGGAGAACAGGGGAGTCCAGCACCCCTGTGGGCTTGGACGCCAGGTGGGTCTGGCTGTGTGATAGAGGGTGGGTCCCTTCCTCTCTCCCAGACCATCTGAAAGTGAAAAGTGGTAGGATCTGTCTGACATCAGGGCCATCTCTGCCTAAACAACTAAGTTGTAGCTTCCTACTATCTGCGGCAGAGAAGAAGGCAAAGGAAACCAAGAGTTTTCCTGAGCAGGAAAATAAAAATTCCAAAGTGGGCCCAGCTCCTCCTTGGCTTTGTAAGTTGTAAACACAGGTATGGAAAGGCTCTGAAGCCAGTGCCTGAGGCAGGAAGCTCCATCTCTCAGAGCAAAGGAGGCAGAGGCCTCCTCCAAAGAACAATTCTATCTACGCTGTGTAACACCCCCCCAGCACTCAGTAGGCTAGTAACAGTGGGTAATTCTAGGAATCAGGGAGAGATCATGTCACTCGCTGCCGGGACCCCTCACACGTACCTCAATTTCTCCTGAGCCTGGCCTGAGAAACGAGGGGGCCTTGTGGAAAGGCTGGCCTGATGTCACTATCCTCAGTCTCCACCAGAAACCACACAGACTCTCTGAACTGCTCAACAAGAAACGGCCTAGAGGTTCAGAGGGAAAAAAAGCCGATGGGCCAGACACAGGGACGGCAGAGAAGAGTGAAAGATTTCTGTTCATGCGTGGACCAGGAGAGGCCCCCAGCCCACCTGAGTCCACACGTTTCTTTCCACTTTGATAAAGCAATGTTCACATTTGCTTTAAGTTTAAAACCCTGTCTATGAAATGAGAGTAACTGATGCCACAGCACTGGCAAGAGAAGTTAGAAGGTTCAAAGGTTTATTTATTTATTTATTTTTTGGTACAGGGATTGAAACCAGATCCTTGCATTTGCAAGGCAGGCATTGGAACCACTGAACTAAATCCCTGGCCCAGGGTCAAAGGTTTTTGTCCTTTAACTCTCTCTCTCTTTTTTTTTTTTTCCCAGTACTGGGGATCGAACTCAAGACCTTGCAAGGTAGGTGCAGTGCCACTCAGTTAAATTCCTGGCCAGTTTTTGTCCTTTTTAAAATTCCCTCCCTCTGTTCATCTGGGTCCCAGAAAGTCCACGATGCCTCCCCAGGGCAGGACTTACACTTCTGTTGTGATGAATCCGGTGAGTTCTGAAAGGAAGAGGAAGAGGATGAAGAGGCAGCAGCAGATGGAGACTGCAAGAAATGACACCGAGTGTCAGACAATTAAGAAAGGGAGGCCAGCCCACCCCAGCCATCCTGCCAGCTCAGGAGAAAATCTGCCTGAGGCCCAGCATCAGGGTGGGCAACATCCCCAAAGACACTGCAAAGCCCCTCTTACCCAAGGCCTCGGTCTGAAGCAGTTCCTCCCCCAGAAAGGGAGTCTGTCTCAGTAGGGATCTGACTCAGGGTCAGAATGGGCCTCCCAAATGTGGGCGAGCCACCTTGAACCTGCTCTGCTATTCTCCAGGGCTCTTTAATGCAAGCTGGCCCGAAAGAAAGGTTGGTTGCACCCAGGGGCCCACCACAGTGTTCTGTTTGGCTTGAGTGATTTTTTTTTTTTTTTTTTTTTTTT